TTACTATAGGTATTTTAGATAGTACTACTTACTATAAGCGTTCTTAATAGTACTTACTATTAGCGTTCCGAATTAGACTTTCTATACGCGTTCCGGATAGTACTTACTATACGCGTTCCGGATAGTACTTACTATACGCGTTCCGGATAGGACTTAGTATATACGTTTCGGATTAGAATTACTATATAGCGTGTTCTAAATAAAACTTAGTATAAGCGTTATAGATAGTAGTACTAACTATTAGCGCTCCCGATTAGAGTTACTATACGCGTTCTAAATAGCACTTAGTATTATAAGTATTCTAAATTAGAATTCCTATAAGTATTTTAGATTAAAATTACTTTAGGCGTTTTAGATTAGGCTCGTCGCCTTAGCCTTTACTTGTAGCTCTTCGGCCTTTACTTATAGCTCTTCGAGCTATATAAACACATTGCGCTTACGTAAGGAAGACGATCTGTACCCGTTCGCGAGGCGGCCGCGAGGCCCGGGAGTAGCCGCGAATTTTGAAGTTCCCGCACGTGATTTCCCCGTAAGGAAGACGATCTATACCCGTTCGCGAGGCGGCCGCGGGGCCCGGGAGTAGCCGCGAATTTTGAAGTTCCCGCACGTAATTTCCCCGCGTTCTCCTCGTTCTCGTTTCGCCCGATTCGGTCAGTCCTAGCACTTGTTTTCGGGTTATTCTAACATTATATAGAATACTTTCTCCTTTAGTAGCTCTTTCTAAAGGATCTATCTCTATAATAAAAAGTTAGTCGTCCTCGTAAAGATACGATTTTCCTTTATACTTTTTATAGATTCTTTAGTATTAGCTATGCTGCTAAGCTCTTTCTTAGCTCGCTTAGCTTGCAGGTGCTAATTGTTAGTTAGATCTGATTTAGTACTAAGTATAGGGTAGCCCTATTTCGGTAATTAACTCTAGAGGTACTACTTAATCTGCAGCTAGTAAAATTAGCTTCAAACTAGTATCTCTATAATAACAATTCGTCTATATTAGTTAGGATAGGTAAGCGTATACGCCGGGCTTATAACCTATTATAATTAAGCTAAGCAGAACAAGTCATTAATTAATTGACTATAGAATTGTATAAGGAAAGTAATCAAGTTTCTGTCTAAGCTAGAGGCTATATATATTACTAGGAAATTAGGCCTTAGCACTTGGCAGTGCTGACTGATCCACAACATGATGCACATCTCTTTGTCATCATATTGTCTTGCTGATCGTTATAGCCTGCCATAGAATCTCCCTCCCTATCAATCCTCCACCAAAAAGCACCACTCCTCTCGATCTTCAGCCCCACCGGAGAATACGACCTCGCAGCTACTCTAATATTGCGTTAAGAGCTCGGGGCGAACGCACTTTGTACGCTCTGCCGCCAGCCATATGCTCTGAAAAGCATCAAAACGCCGGATCTGGTACACTACCCGCTCAAAGTGGCCGAGGAATCTCATCTCGACCAACCAGACTACACTCCCGCAGCTGCGTCTCTACTCTCCACTCCAGAAACATCCACACAGTCGTCAATGGCAGCGGCCGATCTGCGAGTGGCGTATCTCCCTTCACTTGCTCCTGCCTTTTCGAGCACGATGGCGCATAGCTTCACAAAGCTTGGGAGAGCTTGACTGGTCTTGATGTCCTTCTCATGCATGATCAAGCCGTGCCCGAGGTCCTTTAAGCTGTTAATGCTCTACTCCAAAGCCTCGATGGCACCAAGGTGTCCCGACCATTACAGACTACGAGAGTTACAGATATCTTGGTAGGTCAAGCCAATGCAGATGATCAAGCAGCAACAAAGCCTAGCAGCGTGCTACGACCGCGCCGCTAGAATCGCAGGTCAAGATAAAAGCTGCTCGCATGTCCAGGATGTATCTGTAAGTCCTCGTGATTTCATATACTACTCATTACAATGCATTTCAAGAGTGTCGGCGTGCTATTGGCTTTTGCCTCTTCGGCATTGGCTTTGTCGACACCACACAAATATGTGAGCCACGAGAAGCGAGATGCTCCTCTGAAGAAATGGGTCAAGCGTAATAGCCTGTCCCCCGATGCTGTGCTGCCAATGCGATTTGGCCTGAAGCAATCGAACATCGACAATGGCGCCGGTGCTTCTCTCATGGACGAGCTGTAAGTATCGTGCACCTTCACCATTCATTTCGCTTAGTCGCTAAGGCAAACGCAGGTCCCACCCAGACTCCCCTCGTTACGGACAGTGGCTTTCAGCTGACGAGATCATCGACTTCTTTGCCCCACCACAGCACGCCGTTGATGCTGTCAAGAACTGGCTCAGTGAGGCTGGCATCGATAGCAAGCGCATCTCTCACTCAACAAACAAGCAGTGGATCCAGCTTGACGCCAAGGTCCACGAAGCTGAACGTCTGCTGAAGAGCAAATATTATCACTACGAGCATGTTCCCACCGGTAAAGTTCACGTTGCTTGTGACGAGTACTTCCTTCCAGAGCACTTGTCACAGCATGTCGACTATGTGACTCCTGGTTTGAAACTTCTTGGAGGCGGCAAAGCCTCGAATGGTCGTGAGCTCGGTGGACGCTATGATGATCTGGAGAAGCGAGGTTTCCGTACTTCGAAGAACCAGAAGTTCTCTACTCCTATCTTTGGACCTCATGTCACTGCGCCGCTCTCTTCGCTTAACGGCACCAACCAATTGGCGAACTGCGACCAGTACATCACTCCTGAATGTATTGCGGCCATGTACAACGTAGGTCTAGGAGCAGAGAGCGATTCGATCTGCAAAGAAGTGCTAATGTGGTCAATATAGATCACCAAGGGAACAAAGGCTGCTCCTGGTAACGAGCTCGGAATCTTCGAGGAAGGCGACTTCTACACCCAGCAGGATCTGACCCTGTTCTTTGCCACTTTCGCCAACTACATCCCCCTCTTGACCCACCCTAAGTTGGAGGGTATTGATGGTGGCTTCGCTCCTTCTGCTGTTGCTGGTGGGGAGTCTGATCTTGACTTCGAGATTTCCTGTATGTGATTCCCTGGTCCGAAACATGTTCGCAACTGACCAACCCCTCTTAGACCCAATAATCTGGCCACAGAACAGCGTCCTGTTCCAGACCGATGATATCTTCTACGCTACTGGTGTCGAGGGCGGCGGAGGCTTCTTGAATACGTTCGTCAATGGCTATCTCTTCCTATTCATATTGCTGACTCAATTTTAGCTTCCTTGATGCTATCGATGGATCCTACTGCACATACTCTGCATATGGCGAGACCGGTAACGCAGCTATCGATCCAGTCTACCCAGACCCGAACCCTGCCGGCTACCAAGGCAAGCTGCAGTGTGGTGTCTACAAGCCAACCAACGTCATCTCTATCTCTTACGGAGAGCAGGAGGATGATCTGCCAACCAACTACCAACAGCGACAATGCTCCGAATTTATGAAGCTCGGAATGCAAGGTGTATCAGTGGTTATTGCTTCCGGTGACTCTGGTGTCGCCGCCCGAAGCACGGATGACGGCAACAGTGATGGCTGTCTCGGCAATGGTGAGGTCTTTAACCCAGACTTCCCAGCTTCCTGCCCATACATCACCGCCGCTGGTGCCACCTACCTTCCACCAGGCGGTAACGCCCAGAAGGACCAGGAAGTTGCCGTCACTCGCTTCCCATCTGGTGGTGGATTCTCCAACATCTACCCACGACCATCCTACCAGAGCTCCGCAGTCAACACCTACCTGACCGCCCACACGCCCCCATACAAGACCTACAACACTTCCGGCATGAACAACCCTCCTGAGACTGTCACCAAAGGCGGTATCTACAACGTCGGCGGCCGTGGCTACCCTGATATCAGTGCTGTGGGAGACAACGTCGTTGTCTTCGTCAACGCTATGCCAACTCTGATCGGAGGTACTTCTGCTTCCGCACCAGTCTTCGCATCTATCTTGAACCGTATCAATGAGGAGCGTATCGCCGCTGGTAAGAAGACCGTCGGCTTCGTCAACCCAACTCTCTACAAGAACCCAAGCGCTTTCCACGACATCACTGTTGGAAGCAACCCTGGCTGCAATACCCAAGGCTTCGCTGTCTCCCAGGGCTGGGATCCAGTTACTGGACTGGGAACTCCAAACTATCCAGCGCTCCTGAAGGTTTTCATGGCGTTGCCATAGGAATATCGACAGTGTGTGGGTGTGGAGAAAGTATCGTGATGCAGATGGGATTTCCCGAGGAGATATGTGGAGATTTACGATCGCTAGTGTGCATAATGACCAATTGTATGAAAGTGATCAGATGATGCCACATGTGCCTTTCTCATACCAACAACGCATGTCCATAATCCCCTCCATTAGGCGTGCGGACATGAGTATGGATGTGAAACCTCTCGGCTTTAGTATTGCCCAGGAAAATCGAAGGACAATGCTCGAACTCGACAATGATCGTCGGACCATGAATGCGATAATAAAAGGCATCTTCCTCACCAAACCCTCCAACCCACGTAAAGTACGTCTCAAACACATGCTTTTCTGCCGGTCGTATCATCCTCTGTCGAGCTTTCGAGGGTAAGTAGATTATGAACTGCTCGATGATTTGCAGAATCAGATCTCGTTGTTCTTTCATGAGGGCTAGACCGAGCTTCTAGTGACACCTTTGAGAGGCTCTTCGGCGGCTTGCTGCCAACTTGCTACCAATCTGTTGATTTGCGGCAGTCTGGTCACTGCATCGTCAGCATGAGATATGGCGGTGTGCTGCTCGATGTCTTTCAAGAAAGGAGACTCCGACGATATGAACTTGCGAAACGGGCTGACACTTTGAGCTGTGGTAGTGTTCGCCATTGCTTCAAGTTCAGTTCAGGTTGTGCCTGTTCTACTTGGGCATCTCAGCATATGGGACCGAGACTCAGCTGGAGAGCTCGGTGCCGGCCTTTGCCACAGTAGGAAGGAGTCGGCGGTTCCCGATCTCAAAGGATTGCAAGTGCTTCCCTGTTCACAAGACAGGAAGTGAAGCCGTCAAGCCTGTGGTCGTCCACGACGGGTTCTGCTCGTACGAGATGGACGTGCAGAACGGTATATTTCATGCCATCGCGCTCCGATAGGCCCTGTCCCCGGCGGCCAGAGTCAGCCACGGCCATCTCATTGAGCGCGACGCCGATGTCTTTGGTATTCTATCCCATGTGGTGAAGGCAGCAGCGGAAGGACGGAAGATCCCAAAGAAGTGCAGAAACAGCGAAGAGAAGAATGCTGTAGCACCTTTACTGGCTCGGCAGCAGCCGGAGCTAGCTTGCCTTTGGAGCACGTGAAAGTGCGCACGGGCGCGCCTCGAGGCGTGGCGTGGCGCAGTGTGGGGTGGGGTGATGCTCTGACACAAAGCGTCACCACTGCATCTCCGATTGTCTGCCACTTTCCATCACCGTGATTCTTCCTAGCAGCGATATCTTCGCCTCCAAGACCGCCCACTGACCACAGTGCGAGAGGCTACGATGGCAGCCAATACCAAGTACACGCCTGCGCCGCAGCGCGACAGCTTTGAGGAACAGCAGGCAGCACCGCAATACTCACAAGCCCCTCCCTCATATCAGGCCGAACCACTGCTTGGAACACCGAGAGGCGAGGATGATAATGTACCGGATGACTTCAAGGTACGTCCAATATCAGAAAGAGAAGCACACAGGTTTCGAAGAGAGGGAGGGAGAAGCGTGCTGGCCTTCGCGACAGCAGCGCCGGACTCCGAACATCTGCTCTACGCACTGAGAGTACATGTATGTTTTTGATGCTGACATGAATCCTGAAAGTTCGGCGGCTCCGTTGCAGAAGCCACTCTACCCATTCGAATGCAATTTATCCGCAAGGTCTACGCCATCTTGACCGTTCAGCTCCTTCTTACAACTGCGCTCTCCTCCGTTTCCTTCTTCAGCACGCCCTTCAAGAACTGGATCCAGACAAATCAATGGATGCTCTGGGTGTCGCTCTTCGGAGCTATCGGATTCATGCTATTGACATTCTGGAAGAGAAAGAGCTATCCGATGAATCTAGCATTTTTGGCAGTGTTCACGGGGCTCGAGGTGAGTAGATACCGATCGAAAGAGGATACAAGGCACAAAGCTCATAAGACTAATACAGGCATACTCGATCGCGGTCATCACATCCTTCTATCAATCGCGCATCGTCCTGCAAGCCCTGATCTTCACCCTTGGGATCTTCGTCTTCCTCTCCCTCTTCGCATGCCAAACGAAATACGACTTCACGTCCTGGATGCCATATCTCTTTGGTGCGCTCTGGGTGCTGATCTTGTTCGGCTTCATGGCCGCCTTCTTCCCCCAGACGAAGGGTATTGAGCTCGGTTACGGGATTGTGGCTGCGCTGATCTTCAGCGGATATATCCTTGTGGACACGCAGCTCATCATCAGACACTACCAAGTCGAGGAGGAGATTGCCGCAGCAATCAGCTTGTACTTGGACGTTCTCAACTTGTTCTTGGCAATCTTGAGGATTTTGAACAGCCAGAACAACAACTAAGAGCTGAGACAAAGTTTGAATGGGCATGGCATAGATTGAAGCAAAAATTTGGTCTTCTCTTTGTATGGATGATTACGCAAGCTGTATCAGAGACTCTTCAGCTCGAATGTGATTGCCAAGCGCTTGAAAACCTCACCAGGATGCTGCAAACAGAATGGTGTTCGTAATCTGTTACGGCCTCAAGCATTAGAAAGGATATGAAGTTGTAGTCGACGCGTTTAAACGTGTTCAGCTGTTTTGCTCTCTACGTGCCTCGGATGCTGACTGTCGATTGGCGCCTCTCACGCTGCAGCGGCATCAATTGGGACAAAAAGTGGTGTGAAAATCAGAGACAAGGCGCGTCAACTCCATTGACCACATTCGTTAGATATGCGTGACCGGCCAAGAAGATTTCGCACTTTCGGCTTTCGAAGAATTGTAATGAGTTGAGGTTTGGTGGTCCAGAACAGCGCAGCGGAATTTTGTGGCACGTCATGCCGTCGGAATCAGGATCATGCCGAGACTTCCTGCTCCATTATTGGCAGCGCAGCTGCCAATCTAGACACCGCGGCCACCGCCCGCGAAAATCCAAGTTGTCCGCTAAGACCGAAATGATTGGCTGAGAAATTTCGTAGAAGTAATATTCAATCAAAGATTGAAGGGAAATTTGACTTACCCCGGATTTCAGCGTAGAACGTCAATCGAAACAAATATTAAAGGGAAATTTGACTTGCCCCGGATTTTAGCGCAGGTATTAGCTAGTGTTAGCTAGCTAGTATTAGCTAGTATTAGCTAGTATCAGCTAGTATTAGCTCGGACTATTAGCTAGTATTAGCTAGTATTAAAATCTAAGTTGTCCGCTAATACCGAAATAATTAGTACCGTAGCTACTAATCTAGATACCGCGCCTACCGCCCGCGAAAATCTAAGTTGTCCGCTAAGACCGAAATAATTAGCTAAGAATTTTAGTAGAAGTAATATTTAATTAAAGATTAAAGGGAAGTTTAACTTATCCCGGATTTTAGCGTAGAACGTAAATCGAAAGCGCTTAACGAAACCCGGATATAAGCGTAAAACGCTAATAAAAATTTAGTAGGAGCTTAACGTAGACTAAAGACCTAGATATAGCTATATTCTACTAAATACGAAGCCTATCGACTAGTATAAAGGTCCCCGTAGCGAAAATATTAGTAAGACTACTAATAGTACTATTAATTTTAATAAAGCTATTAGTAGAGGCTATAGAGCTACTAGTAACTTTAGACTATTAGACTATTAGTAGGGCTACTAGTAGGCAGCTACTAGTAGGACTAGGTATTAAGAAAACTATTAACAAACCTATTAATTAAACTATTAGGTAAACTGTTACATAGACTATTAGATAAACTATTAGCTAAACTATTAGTAAACCTAATAAAAGAACTAATAATAAAACTAATAATAAAACTAATAACTCAAATGGCACTAATAGTAAAATAGTTAGTAAAACTACTAATAGGACTATTAATAAAACTGCTAATAAAACTGTTAATAAGACTACTAATTAAAACTACTAAGACTATAAGCTAACCTATAAATAGGACTACTAATTAAAGTACTAAGACTACTAACTAAACTAGAAACAATACTATTAACAAAACTACTAATAAAACTATTAATAAAACTACTAATAAAACTATTAAAGAAACTACTAATAAAATACTAATTAAAATTTTTGTTAAACTAAAACTAGTAATCGAACTGCTAATTAATGTGAGAAGGGTTATGTTAGCAGGTAGATAGGGTGGTAGTAAGTCAGTTTAGTATTCGATAGAGATCTAGGAGGAGAGGGAGGAAGGCAGGAGAGTTAGCCTAACACTAAGCGCCAAGCCCTGCCTAAGGCATTAAGACCCTGGCTTCACTCGGCCTAGTTATATGCCAATTACGTGTAGCCTCTTTGGCCCTAATATACGCTTCCCTTCTAAAGGCCGCGCCCTCGTAGCCGGTCTTTGTTCTAGTCTTAACCCCTATTGCTACTAACTTAGTAGGTCTAATAAGCCGCTTAGTCCGCGCTAAATTAAACACTCAACCACCTAATTATATAACTATATTAAACCTTACCTTCCAATATAATGTCTAACTCTAACTGCGCTATCCCTATATATAATAAACTATAAAGTAATATATATCTATAAGAATTAAGGGCCTTCGACTAATTATAATACGAGCGCGTCTTCCCTACTATAATAGGTAGACGTACGAGGTATTATAGCCCTGCCTCCGCTCTACGTAATGTCGTACCGAGTTCTTTGCGTCTACTCTTAAAAGACCTAGCAATGTCCGCTCCTAAGGGTTTGTCTGCTTCCGAGGGTTATTATTTACTATCGTAGTTTTACTAGTCCTAATTAGTTAGGTTTGGCAGCCTTTAAGTGTCAACTAATTATATCTTTTTAAGAAACTTAGTTCTTCTAGTTTCTATAGGTAAAGGCTATTATAAGTGTAGTAGTAGAGGTTCGCCTCGCTTAAAGGATTAGATAGATCGAGGAGTAACCTATTGTCCGCAAGATCGACCCCGGCTAGCTTAGCTCTATAGTTTTTGCCCTTAGTTAGTCTATTAATCGCTCAATCTTTTAAGCGGCTTAAAGTTTTAATCAAAGTTTTGATTAAACCTTTAATACAGCTATTCTTTTGACTTAATTAGTGTAGCGCGCCTCCGGCCTTAGGCCGTAGTATAGGTAAGGTTGTCTTCGCAAGTATAGTAGCGACAATAGGTAAGGTTAGCAATATTAGCGAGCAGGTAATGTTAATAATAGCGGCGCTAGTCGTCTTAGCGCTAACTTTACCTTCTTCTAATTTCCTTCTTTAACTAACAATAACTCGGCAACACCGTTACTAATATAGCCGTGTCCTTCCTTTCTTAAATAGCAACACGCTCCGCAACACTATTACTAATATAGCCGCGCCGGCCGCGCCGTCCTCGCTAATTGCCTAGGCCTCGAGGCCCGGTAGAATAAGGGAACAAGAGGGAGACCTATAGGGCGCGTTAGTAGAGAGGTAGAGTCCTTAAAAGAGTATGCGATTAATTGATTGACGCGTCGTAGCGCGCCTAGTGTAGTCTTATTGTCCTAGTTTGCTAGCCTCTAATTAGTTAGCTAATAGCACCCCGGGGGTAGTATTATTCCTAGGCGACATTATAGGCCCTTAGCCTTCTTCTTGTTCTTTACACTAGTCTAATACTTATCTAACAACTTAGTTATATCTTTAAACGAGTCTTCGGCCTCCTACGAGTCCTATTTAGGTAAATAGCCTTGCTATCTTAGGAGGTACTCCTTCTTGCCTCGCCTAGTCCGATAATCTAGGATACGTTCTATAGACTACAGCTCTTTACTATCCGCTAGTATGTCTTCGTGTTTAGTAGGGGCTTTATTCCCCTCGCGTAGGTAATATAGCTTAAGGAGGGATATATAGAAGGTGTTATAGATAGTATAATAAGGAGGAAGCTATAACTAATAGGCCTATACGGAGGAGCCCTTAACTTCTCGAATACGGAATAGACTAATGTATCTTAGTGCGAGCTTAGGCCTTGTTTTGCTATTAGGGGATAGGTGCTTACGGATGCGGAGGTTCTTAGTGCTTAGCATAACTATATCGCCCTGCTTAAAGGTCATCGGTATATAGTGTTTGTCGTAATAGGCCTTCTAATAGGCCTAGGCCTTCGCTAGTTTGTTAGCTATCTTAGCGTAAATTTCTCGCATCTTTTGAACCCTCTTAATAGCCGCTAGTGTCTTAGGTGTTAGTACTTGATACGCTTCCCTTTCCTTGCGCTCGGCCTCGAGCGATAGGGGGTCTTATAGTAGCGTAGGGTTGCTTCCTATTATAGCGAAATAAGGTGACACCTTAGTAGATAAGTGGATACTGTTATTATATACGAATTCGGCTAGTTGTAGGAGATTAACCTAGTTATTAGGGTTCTTATTAATGTAGCTGCGTAGGTACTGCTATAGCGTAGCATTCTGCCTTTCGGTCTAACTATCTGTTTATAGATAGAATGCTATAGATAGGCGATGCTTAAGTCTTAGCTATAGGCAAATCTCACTCTAATAATAAGATGTAAATGTCGAGCCTTAGTTAGAGACTATCCCTTTAGGGGTCCCCTAATAGGTATAGAAGATATTGTTCTATAGCGCTTCTACTATATTAATAGCAGTCTAGTCTTTCCGCGCCGGGATATATCGAGCGCCCTTAGTAAATCGGTCTATAACGACTAGGATGGCGTTAAAGATGTCTTTGCTTCCTCTCCGCTTAGCAGAGGGAAGACCTGTAATAAAATCTATTATAAGCTCTACAAATAGCTTATAAGGGATTAGTAAGGAGGACAACTCGCCAAAAGGCTAATACTTTAGTGCCTTAACACGTTAGTATACGGCATACGTGTTAACGTATTCCTTTATATCCCGCTCACTATTTAGCTAGTAGTATGTACGCGATAGTAGCTCGTGCGACCTCTCTATACTATAGTAACCGGCAAGCTTACTATTATAGTGTCGCTTAAGAAGTTCTTGTCGGATCGAATGTTTAGCGGGGATATAGTATCTGCCCTTGAACTTTAAATAACCTTTGTTATCGACCGACTAGTTACTCTTACTAGATCGAGTCGTTCGCCTACTTACAAGCTTGTCGATATGTTTAGCAGTAAAGGCGTCCCTCTACTAAGTACGTAACAGCTTATTTATAAACGATTAACTATCCCTATTTGCAAGGTTATTTAATAGCACCCTCGCTATTAAACGAGGTACGCATTATATGCATCTAATAGCACTAGTAGCCGGATTAACTATAGCAGTGCTATCGCTGTTACTGTATATTGCGATGTCGACTAGGGAGTTATTATAACTTCTCCTGTCTATGTCCTTAGCCCTTGCCTTAACACGCACTATTAATACAGTAAGAGCATTAATATACTTCAAGCCGTCGCGGAGTCCGGCAAGCCGCTTATCCTACGCTTGCTTATTAATAACACGGGCTATAGCAATCTTATGCTATAGGGTTAGAAACAAAGAATTAATGTGTTAGGTTTCGCTATCGTAATTAGGTCGCCTCGATAGGCTATTAGCAGGGTTGCTTACGCCTAGCCGATGTAATACATTAAAATTAAACCCGGCGAGGTAGACGGCCTATCTAGCCTGTCGACCTATAACCCTAGTAACCTTAGTAATGCTACGGAGGTTGTTATAGTATGTATAGACCTAAATGGTGTGCTAAGCACT